AAGTCAAGAATGATATTAATGGTGGTTTAATATATACCTTGTGTAAGTAATATATTCACACTTTCATCCATGGTATATCATTTGTATAACATATTATCACATAAATAATGATCATCAAGTTTATTATACGACCAGTTGACAATTAATAAGCTTGTTGAGACAGTTTTATTTTTTTATTTTTTTAAGCACCAGGTTGTAAAAATACTATCCATAACCCGTGTTGTAAAGGCAATATTGACTCGTGTTGTGTACAGAAGAGAGTGAAAATTAGCGTGAAGAAACACATAAGAAGAAACTTTGATGATAAGAGGCTGAGGAGGAGAAGATAGATACAGGAGGAGGAGGAGAAGAAGAGGTAAACAAGGAGAATGTGGAAGAGTGGAGGTTGAATGGTGAAGGAAGTAAGAACAAGGCGAAGGGTGGATGGTAGCGGTGGAGGAGTGACGTAGAGAGGATTGTGGAGTGGGCAAAGATGTGGAGGAGTGACGTAGAAGGATTGTGGAGTGGGCAAAGATGTGGAGGAGTGACGTAGAAGGATTGTGGAGTGGGCAAAGATGTGGAGGAGTGACGTAGAAGGATTGTGGAGTGGGCAAAGATGTGGAGGAGTGACGTAGAAGGATTGTGGAGTGGGCAAAGATGTGGAGGAGTGACGAATGGGCAGAAGGATGGGCAAAGATGTGGGAGGAGTGATGTAGAAGGATTGTGGAGTGGGCAAAGATGTGGAGGAGTGATGTAGAAGGATTGTGGAGTGGGCAAAGATGTGGAGGAGTGATGTAGAAGGATTGTGGAGTGGGCAAAGATGTGGTGGAGTGATGTAGGAGGATTGTGGAGTGGGCAAAGATGTGGAGGAGTGTGACGTAAACACCACTAAGATGAAGAAGCTATTCTATCATGCCCACTCTGCTATCTAAACAATCATTCTATCATGTCTCCTCAGCTATCTATAAAGTCATTCTATCATGTCTCCTCAGCTATCTAAACAGTCATTCTATCATGTCCACTCAGCTCTCTAAACAGTCATTCTATCATGCCCACTCATCTCTTTCGTCCACATACCAGTTTCACCTTCATCCAACCTGTCTCTATTCCCCCTCGACCCACCCATCCTGTCACCCACTCAACCACCACATCCATTCGTCCTATCATGCACACTCACCCATCATACCCACAAACTCATCCTGGTCATTTTATCCGCTTAATTACTCACTCATTCATCCACCTCGCCCAGTCATCCACGCATATACTCATCCATCACACCCCGACACCCACACCAAACCTCATCTACTACGCCAGCTCATCCCTACCAATCCCTTATCCGTCTATCTAATCCATACTATCCACCACAGCCACTTATCAACCCCTTCTCTTAATCATCAACACCCACTATGTTAACTCCATCCACCCTACCATCCCTCCCTTCACCTCCCATCCCTCCCTTCACCTCCCATGCCCTCCCTTCACCTCCCATGCCCTCCCTTCACCTCCCATGTCCTCCCTTCACCTCCCATTCCTCACCTCACCTCCCATCCTTCACCTCACCTCCCATCCCACCTCACCTCCATTCCTCATCTCCCCCATCCCTCACCTCACCTCCCATCCTCACCTCACCTCCCATCCTTCACCCACCTCCCATCCTCACCTCACCTCCCATCCCTCACCTCACCTCCCATCCCTCACCTCACCTCCCATCACCTCCCACCTCACCTCCCATCCCCTCACCTCACCTCCCATCCCTCACCTCACCTCCCATCCTCACCTCCCATCCCTCACCTCACCTCCCTCACCTCACTACCCCCTACCTCACCTCACTACCCTCCCTTATCTCACCATACCACCCGTATCTCACGTCACCTCATCTCAACTCCCATCCCCTCACCTCACCACCCTTCCTCGCCTCACCACGCCTCCCTCCTCATCTCACTACTCCTCCTCGCCTCCCACCTCCCTCACCACCCCCTCACCATCCCTCCTCACCACCCCTCACCACCCCTCCTCACCACCCTCCCCGCCCGCAAGGTGACGTCTCAGCGCATTTTTCTCTCCCGGCATACCACTGTGTTGTCCCATTGACCTCAAACCAATCTCTCTCTCTCTTTCTCTCTCTCCTTTTTTTTTTGTACCTATCCAGATGGTCGTCGATCGTGTCATTATACCTCATCATTCGTCCTTATGGCCTCAAGATAAAAGTAACTCGGGGTAGGTCTGCCTCTAGTAATGCCTCTAATTCAGCCCACCACGACTGGCATCACCTAGACGACGAAAACGACGGGAAAAGTTTCAGCTCAGCGGGAAGGCAACGATAATGTATACAGAGCATCACAACTATTGCATGCGCCCTGCGTTTGCAAGCTCTCGGGCACCCCTGGTTTGTGTTGCGTAGAGGCTAAAGTCCCCGGGTAAGTGACTGTCCGGGTCGACTCTATGACCCTGTCGGCTGGGCGTGGCAAATGGAAAACACAATTTAGATCGGAGCTACAACCAGATCCTGAACACGTTGTGGTCCCAGACACGCAGGGGCTTCAGCGGCGGCGGCGGCGTCGGGGTCGTTCCTTATCTTCCTACGTCATATTCTTAACTATATTTTAACCTTTTATTAACTGCGTGTCCGGGGAAGGTATCAGGGAAAAGACAAGCAGCTTATATTTATTGGGAACTGGAAGTGCCTTGGTCTGTGTGTGTGTGTGTGCGCGCGCGTGTGTGTGTATAGTACAGCCACCATGAGCTTATCTTAAGAGTTGTTGCAAATTAAAGCTCGCTATAACAACTAATTATACTCACCAGGAGGCTTAGTTATCATCATTATGAATATGTTGATGGTCATGTAGAGCCTCATACTCATCAACTTATTCATCAGTAAAGTATTCATTATTGTTATACATTTTATTATTCATTTCTACGTCACGATTGAAAACTAGTGTCACTTAACTTGCCTTGTTGTTGTAAGATACCATTATTTATTTTTCATTCAGTAAAGTGATCAGATATGGGAGTATCATTCGACTAAAGAATGCTATTTGTTTCTCATATTCGTCTCGTCTGTCTGTTTATCTGATTGTTTAGTTAATATAATGGGTTTATTTATATGATTAATCAGAAAACGAACACATGCAAAATGTGTGTGTGTGTGTGTGTGTGTGTGTGTGTGTGTGTCGTCGGAGTAAAATTTTCGACCTGTGGTGTAATGGTCAACACGCTCGCCTCGCAAGCGAGCGGACTCCAGTTCGATTCCCGGGCAGGGTGAAACTATGGGCAGGTTTCTTTGCGTCATTTGCCTCTGTCTACCCAGCAGTAGGTGGGGACCTGGATGTTAGTCGATTTACGGATCGTATTCTGGGGTAATGGTTAGCCAGTGCAGTTGGCGAGTTGTCAGGTCTTCTCGGATTATTCCTTAACACTGGGTCATGCAACTCGTTAACTTTGGGTGTGGTTGTTGTGTTGGCGACATCTTCTACACCTTAAGCAAATTCACGCCCATAGGTGGCCCTTGGACCGGCCATCCTCCAACACGAGGGGCAACCATTATTATTAGTAGTATTTAAACTCCATATAAATCACAGACTATAAAACCCTCCCCTCACAGTAGTACACAATAGGTCACTCACTGCCCATCTCCCTCCCCTCACAGTAGTACACAATAGGTCACTCACTGCCCATCTCCCTCCCCTCACAGTAGTACACAATAGGTCACTCACTGCCCATCTCCCTCCCTCACAGTAGTCTCACTGCCCATCTCCTCCCCTCACAGTCACAATAGGGCACACCACACAGGCTCACCACTGCCCATCTCCCTCCCCTCACAGTAGTACACACAGGGTCACCACTGCCCATCTCCCTCCCCTCACAGTAGTACACAATAGGTCACCACTGCCCATCTCCTCCCTCACAGTAGTACACAATAGGTCACTCACTGCCCATCTCCCTCCCCTCACAGTCGTACACAATACGTCACTCACTGCCCATCTCCCTCCCCTCACAGTAGTACACAATACGTCACTCACTGCCCATCTCCCTCCCCTCACAGTAGTACACAATACGTCACTCACTGCCCATCTCACCACACTAAATATTGCTTATATCATTTTCATTAATGAGAAAATATATTAATATGAACAATATGTAAATGATGAGTAGTTTTTTGGGGGTTCTTGCGTGTTATCTTATATTGCATGACCTTATTCGGTACAGTGTCTTGAGTTACAGGAAACTTCACCTTCACAAGATATCAATGACTTAAACAAAAAATAACTATATAGACAATATTATTAGAGGTTTTAGTATACATATAATAACATATTTATTGGTTGATTATATATAGACGGGGGTAAATTATATATAATCTTTATATTTTATATTGGACTTGTTGGAGGATTCGTAAAGGATTATGGTATACGATTGAAGAATTTTTTAAGGATTCTGAGATATGGTTTTAGGATTCTTAAAGGATTCTAATATATGGTTGGAGGATTCTATTTTTTCTTATATGTTATAGTATTTGTATAACGATATAACCATTTATACAATAAGAACTTAGTAATCTTATATTTCCAGAAGACTAAATTTTGTCAATAAACAAATATGAATTATAATCTAATTTGGGGTTTTCCTGCTTCCTTCCCATGAGTTTGTTTCATTACCATTAAGCTTGGGTTGTCCTTCACCAATACCATAAAGCTTGGGTTGTCCTTCACCAATACCATAAGGCTTGGGTTGTCCTTCACCACTACCATAAAGCTTGGGTTGTCCTTCACCACTACCATAAAGCTTGGGTTGTCCTTCACCACTACCATTAAGCTCGGGTTTTCCTTCACCACTACCATTAAGCTTGGGTTGTCCTTCACCACTACCATTAAGCTTGGGTTGTCCTTCACCAATACCATAAAGCTTGGGTTGTCCTTCACCACTACCATTAAGCTTGGGTTGTCCTTCACCACTACCATTGCTTCTGGTTGTCCTTCACCAATACCATGCTTGGGTTAACCAGCAGGTTGTCCTTCACCTACCAGCTTGGGTTGTCCTTCACCACTACCATTAAGCTTGGGTTGTCCTTCACCACTACCATAAAGCTTGGGTTGTCCTTCACCACTACCATTAAGCTTGGGTTGTCCTTCACCACTACCATTAAGCTTGGGTTGTCCTTCACCACTACCATTAAGCTTGGGTTGTCCTTCACCACTACCATTAAGCTTGGGTTGTCCTTCACCACTACCATAAAGCTTGGGTTGTCCTTCACCATAATCAATTCTCATATATGTCTTTACCTGTAAATAAAAATAAAAGAAAATAACTACCGTATACCTACTTTTGCACTACACTGTATGAAACAATTACAGCTGTAGAGGTGACTTAATAATTTAATAAATGAAAAAATAATTTAGTTAATGATTGATTATATAAACAGTTAAATAAATGTACTGTATATATGATAATTATAAATATGGTGAAGAAGTTTAGTATATGTTCTATATTATAAAACCCATGGCTACTGCTTAACATATAGGTATAAACAAAGGATTAATAAATGAATCACAGAATAAACAACAATAACAGTGTAAACTATGCAACAATAACAAAGGACTGTAAATTTAGTATCAACAGGTAGTTTCACCCACTCTCCCCCATCTTACTAAAACCTACCCTCATAGCCCCCATCACACGCCCACCTAGCCTCATCCCCCCACCCCACCTAGCCTTATCCTTTACTCACTATCCCCGTACCACATACTACACCCCATCCTCCCACTCCAACCTACCCAGCCATCCATACCTTCGACTCACATACTCACACCGCATTCTCACACCGCTCTTCCCAATGGTCATAAATCACGTTCACCAACAAGGCCTGAAGGACAACAGCTGCTCTCTTTGTCAAACTCTCGCTTATTCCCTCACTCACTCACTCCGTTCCTTACTCTCCATTCATTGTCTCTCCCTCTCACTGTACTCTCCCTCCTTACTTCCTTCCTTCCTTCCTTCCTTCCTTCCTTCCTTCCTTCCTTCCTTCCTTCCTTCCTTCTTTCTTTCCTTCCTTCCTTCCTTCCTTCCTTCCTTCCTTCCCTCCCTCCCTCCCTCCCTCCCTCCCTCCCACAAGCAGGTTTTTGAGCGAGGACTCATCAATACTTGACTCAAATTCATGGAGACAATTTGAAGGGTTGCTGAAGGGTGAGATAGATCTAACCTAACCTCACCTCACCTCACCTCACCTCACCTCACCTCACCTCCAACAAGTCGAAAATGTTAAAACTACACAACAAAAATATTTCCATCAATAGTTATACAAAATTTTACGAATATGATCCTAAGGCTTTACGGTGCCTCGGTGGCGTAGTGGGTTGTTCTCTACAGGTGTGATCAGTTTAACGATGGTTCAGTTAACGATGGTTCAGTTAACGATGGTTCAGTTAACGATGGTTCGATACCGTTTAAGGTGACTTTTAAGGGGTAAGGGCTTGTTATGGTTAAGTCTGTCACCTCGAAGTGTAATTGCAAAAACTGAGGAAGACATTTTAGAATATGATGGAGATATTAAAGATAAAACAAATCATAAAAGGTCGAGGAAAAAAGTAAAAACAAAAAATAGTGGAAAGTGAGAGTGAATATTCGAGGTTGTGAACTGACATTGACTATTACAGCCAAAATAAAATATTAATAATGAAATCTTAGACTGAAAATTGAAAATGCATACTTGAACAAGAAACTGGAACTAGATATTATAATAATTCAGACTGAAAGGTAAAACTGAAAAGAATACTGTAAGCCTGAACTTAAAAACATAAGGCTGATTGACCAATTTTATTACTAACTGACTGACTGACTGGATCAGCGAATTGGCTGAAACTTTTACGTAAATCATCATCACCATCATCATCATCACCACCACCATCATAATCATCTTCATCATCATCACTGTTATCATGATCATCATCATGATCATCATGATCATTCAGTATCAGACCAACGCTGGGTGAAGGTCTCCACCATACAGTAGATGTGAAGCATCATGGTAGTAACTCACTGTAGCCCTTCTTGGAGGTACTAGTCTCCCGCCTCTTATATAAACCACTGCTTTAAACCGTCTACTGCATCACCCTATATCATCCCTTCTATATAACCCCTCTATATCACCCCTTCCCCTGCTATAAGAAATTTCAGATATAATTTTATTTGTGAAATCTAAATATTTTTAATGTTATTGACGTTAAATGTTATTAAAAAAAAATATGTATATATATATATATATATATATATATATATATATATATATATATATATATATATATATATATATATATATATATATATATATATATATATATATATATATATATATATATACACACATATATATAACTGATTATTCCCCTTCTCGATCTACTAGGTTCACTGTTGCCATCACACTGGTCATTGTATTTTCTAGCCATTTACGTTTGTTGCTTTATCTGGTGTTTATGTTTGAAGATATGTTTGTTTGTTCGCGTGTTATTGTTATCTATCAAGTCGAGTCCTAATGTCACAACAATTATTTATTGAATTTATTTGTTTTTACTCCGCAAAGGTTTTTTTTTCTTTTATTTCTAATTCTACTCTCAAGATATTTTTCTTGATTAGATTATTTATACATTTGTTTGTATTAATGTATAGAGAAACACACACACACACACACACACACACACACACACACACACACACACACGTACGTACATATATCCTGCCAAGCAACTACAAGAATAAATAACATAAGGGCAGATAGCGAGTACCAACAACTGTGTAACACAAGTTCACTTATTAGTTATGAGATAAGAATATATGTAAGTAGTGTAGTTTAAGAGGAAATGGGGTCCGCTTGACTCATGAACGTACTAATGGATTTCTTACTGGCAGGGGGGACATTGGAGTAAGGTGTGTGAGAGAGAGAGAGGGAGAGAGAGAGAGAGAGAGAGAGAGAGAGAGAGAGATTTGTAAATAATTCTTCAAAGGAATTATTGTTGTTTAATCCTTTAATCCTTACCTAATGTATTAAGTTTAATGAAATATTAAAAAATAAATAAATGAAGATGACATAGAAAGATAGGTACAATATACCATATTGGCAACACAAGACAATTTTATGGCACGTTAGGTTTAAAAGACGTAATTTAAAGTTAAACCAAGACATGTTTGATTGACGTTATGTTTTAAGACAAGTTTAAAACACGTTACAATAGGTGTTAAGAGGGACATGTTAAGACAGCTCAGTAATACGTTAATGTCACGTGAATTTTAGAAAGGAAATACTTAGGTCAAATAGTTCAATTTTTATTATCTTATTTATTAAAAACTTCAAAAGAGGTTCAATTTTGTTCTTATCTTTTGGGGAGGTTCGTATTTTCCTAACGTGTCAGTGTTCAATTTTTTTTAATGTGCAAAGGCTCATTTTTCCCCATATGGTAATCGTAAGAAAAACACACATGGCAATCGTAAGACTAAGAAAATATGTCGAAAGGGAAAATATTTGACAATCGTAAGGTTAAAATAAACATATGTCACTAATATGAAAAAGACACATTATAATTCTCATCACATATGTCACTAATATGAAAAAGACACATTATACCTCTTCATCACATATGTCACTAATATGAAAAAGACACATTATAATTCTCATCACATATGTCACTAATATGAAAAAGACACATTATATTTCTCATCATGGCCCGGGTCGGTATAAAACTTTTTCACAAGAGTAAGGAAAAAAAAAAACTCAGCCATTTCACTCTACGGTAAAAACTAGCCATTTCACACCACTGTAAGAAGACATTATAAACAAACTTCAAACAAAAACTACAAACAAAAATATTTCACATCACAACACAAAAAATACAACGAAAAAAAATAAGCTAAAATAGACAGAAAATACAACTAAAAATACTTCACATCACAATATAATAAATAAGACAAAAAAAATCCCACTTTCTTCTCTATCGACAGAATAAATCCCTCCATCCTGTTCTAACCTCACTCATCCTCATTTTACCATAGGAGTAGTGTTAGGATTTACCTTCCCTTTGTAATAGGATATACCCCTACCATCCTCCTCCTGAGTGAATATGAGAGTTGTAATGTAATTGTGGGACCATTAAGGACAGAGAGAGAGAGAGAGAGAGAGAGAGAGAGACACAGACAGAGAGGTGTACCAGGCGACCTCTCCTCCAGGGTCACCGCCGTCACACTGCCCGCCGGACTTACCCCGCCCTCCTATTTATAGCCTCCACACGACTACCATATGGAGGGGGATTGTTTTTGTTTTGATATGACGTCACCGTGGGGGAATGCCAGCTGCTCGATGTTATATTGAATTTTGCGAGATGAAGGTTGATATTTTTTGCGCGCGAAATATATGATTTAATTTTTGTATTTTTCTAACCACATTTGTTTTTCATTAATCTATCCAGTTTTCGTTACCTCCTTATTTATAATTATTTATCTTTGATGATAAGTGAAGTATACAAAATCAAGACAACAAAATGGTGTTTGTTTTATCTAAAGCATAAAGAGGTACATTAAATCGGTGTTTGTAAATTAAAAAATATAATAGAATTTAGGTTTTTTTGTTCGTCTTGTTTTCATGCCTTCTTAGTCCAAGTTATAAAAAGTTATTCCCAACGAGGAGTTCAGTTTCATTGGTCCTTGAGCCATTGTAAAGACTTAGTAACTCTCCTTATGGTACGACGCTGTACTGTACTTATTCCCTTGTTTGTAGTTCAGTATCTAATCATTCATTCAGGTGGTTAGTCAGTCATTCAGTCACTAATCAGTCACAGTTAATAGCTAATCAAAGTCATTTTGCAATTAGTCTGACTATCACAAATCAGTTAACTACTGATTAGTCACTTAGTCGTTAATCAGCTAGTTGCAACACTCGCTTAATAACTAATCTGTTAGTCACTAATCGCCAGTTATCCAAGTCGTTCAAACAGCCTTACAATATTAAGTTAAATAGTTTGTTGACACACAAATATTTTTATCTAGGTTAAGTCACCACCTGTATGATACTGTCACCACCTGTATGATACTGTCACCACCTGTATGATACTGTCACCACCTGTATGATATTGTCACCACCTGTATGATACCGTCACCACCTGTATGATACTGTCACCACCTGTATGATACTGTCACCACCTGTATGATACTGTCACCACCTGTATGATACTGTCACCACCTGTATGATACTGTCACCACCTGTATGATACTGTTACCACCTGTATAATACTGTCACCACCTGTATGATACTGTCACCACCTGTATGATACTGTTACCACCTGTATAATACTGGCACCACCTGTATATGATACTGTCACCACCTGTATGATACTGTCACCACCTGTATGATACCGTCACCTGTATGATACTGTCACCACCTGTATGATACTGTCATCACCTGTATGATACTGTCACCACCTGTATGATACTGTTACCACCTGTATGATACCGTCACCACCTGTATGAAACCGTCACCACCTGTATGATACCGTCACCACCTGTATGATACCGTCACCACCTGTATGATACCGTCACCCCCTGTATGATACTCTCACCACCTGTATGATACTGTCACCACCTGTATGATACTGTCACCACCTGAGAACTAAGCTACCTGTACTGTCAGCCAAAATTTACTCATGAATTCATATATCTATCCGAATAAATTGAATGCACCTTGTCACCTTGTATCTGGACTCATCCACTCCAGCCTTCCAGTGGATAGTTTATTGTGTCAGTGGATAGACTTTAGTTTTGTCTTCTGTTGAGGGGTTAGGTTAGGTTAGTGAGAATTGAATCGTATCGTTACCTGAGGCTGGGTGAATTCTTCTTACCCGTGTGAGAATATAACATCCCCTTCGTTTGAGATTAGTAGAGAAGATGAGTGAGAAGGATATAAGGACAGAATGAGAGAGGGTGTAGACAGACAGACAGACAGATACAGAGACAGACAGATACAGACAGACAGACAGACAGACAGACAGACAGACAAAAAACTCAACTTGCATACCTCAGGAAATAGTAAATAAAAAAAAACAGATGATGAAATTAAGTACAAGATGAGTTTTCCAGGAATACCAGCGCTATAATTGACTACCTGAAACCCAATAAACTTTATCTTTATTATCTATCTCTGTTACAAATGCCTTCATTATCATACTTTCTCTCTCTCTCTCTCTCTCTCTCTCTCTCTCTCTCTCTCTCTCACTTAACCTTTACTAAAGTCTAAAACACCTTCTTGGGTTGTGTTTTAAATCTCTGTAAAATTAACCTTTGTAATACGTATAAATACCTTAAACCTCACAAAAATAAAACCATTTTAAAAACATACAAACATCCCGATGGGGTATTTTATAAACCTCTCTGTAATTGACTTTAGATTATCCTTACTATACAAATATCAATAACTACTATATTAATTTATTCATTTATTCATTTATTCTCGATTTTATTACCGTTGTTGACATGCTGGAATAAAATGTATAGAAACAAATAAAATAAATCAGTTGGCGAGATATTTTTTGTTTCCGAAACGAATAAAAAATTCCGTTTTATTTTTTATGTAGATCTTTTTCTTGTTATTGAATTTTTAAGATTTGGAATTATGTTTTTTTTCCCTAATGTTTTGTGAAGTTATAGAATGTGCTTTGATTCACCTCGTGAGTCTTGTATTAAGTAAACAGAAGGTAAACAACATATTTCCAGGTTACGCTACTGTTCATTATATATCCACGATCTGGAGTTAGAGTTTTTCTTCCCACAAATGTATTTAAATCGTATTTTTTTATCTCGTCTACATGAATCGTAAATAAGACGATTGATAGACCCAGATATTTTTATTTTCTCTCTGTATGACCAAATAGGTGAGAGTAGATGGCGCCACGACGGTCATCTCATCTTTGATTATGATAATGATGCCCCGGGTTAGGTGTTCCCCTGCTGTGTTAACGTCGCCTGCGCCTCCTGCTGTAGTGTTGTAGCTACCACCTGCCAAGACCTACCGTGGTCTCCGTCACCTCCTGAGGTTCTGGGGTCATGTGGCTGTGTTTGGACCACTCAGAGAGAGAGAGAGAGAGAGAGAGAGAGAGAGAGAGAGAGAGAGAGAGAGAGAGAGAGAGAGAGATGTGTGTTGACAGAGGAACAGATATAGACGTGCTTAGACATAAATAAAGTATAGACCTCGAAATGGAATCATATATAGAGAAATATTGTCATATACTAGACACATAAATAAATTCCGATCTAGAGATACACGTTAATGAGCTAAGCTGAGTGAACGGGGGATCACCTGAAGATTAACCCCTCAGCTTATATCACATCAAAATTAGCCACCCTAACGCTGACCTAACCTAACCTAACCTAATCTAGTCCTCCTTAGATAGCTTTAAGTTGGTTAATCTTCAAAATAAATAAACTAGGGTGTCTAATCTTCAGGAAATCCGTAAATGAGAATACACTGAACACATATTGTCCACACAGGAAGTTAAACAGTGCTGGATGCTTGGCTCGCCCAAACACTGATGCTAGACGTAATCTCCACTACTTTGAGTCAGGCTAGGACAAACCCTCACCGACAAATAGACACGAGAGATTAACAACAATGTCTCAGGAAAGTTTTTTTTTTTTTTTTAAGGTCTCCGGGTCTCACGTACACTGCCCTACACTCCTCCCACGCAAGGACTCGACTAGCGTGTCCAAAACCACACAACCAGTAATGAATGGTCGGGTAATACTCCCACTATCCCTCCCCCCCCCTTCCCCCTTGCGATGTAAACACAACCTCAGATACCAGATAGTTTAATCAAAGCGACACATTGGGTCATTTATTCCCTCCTGGTGTTTATTCATTCTCATATCTCTCTCTCTCTCTCTCTCTCTCTCTCTCTCTCTCTCTCTCTCTCTCTCTCTCTATCAGATGTCCTGGCGGGCAGCTGTCCACGTTTTACTTACCTGTCTGTCTGTTTCTCTTGGTGTGTGACCGTCTTACTGTCTGTCTGTCTGTCTGTCTGTCTGTCTCTTTTGTTGTGAGACCATCCTACTGTTTATCTATCTGTCTGACTCTCTTGGTGATTTATCTATTCAAGTCCTACTGTGTGTGTGTGTGTCTGTCTGTCTCTTGTCGTGTGGCCTTCCTACTGTCTTTCTGTCTTTCTTTTAATGATTTAGCTATCCACAACCTACTGTCTGTCTGTCTGTCTGTCTGTCTGTCTGTCTTACCTCTTACGTCCTGGTGTTTCCTTTCACTTTTTACCCCCCGCCAGGCTCCAACCAGGTAGGGATAGAGATTGTTTTTGTGTCTGTCTGTCGATCTGTGTCTTTGTAATCATAAGTTTCTCAATAATGTATACATGATGTGTATACCGGCATGTACACAGAATAATGTATATATTTAGATAATGTATGTATATAGGAAGACTTTTATCATATATAACAAACGCCTTCCATAATATTTCATGAATTTGTTTAATAATATTTAGTTTTCTATGGAAGGGTTATGTAGGTGAGAGTGTTTATATTTCCGTATTGTTATTATGACATAATTTAAAACACACACACACACACACACACACACACACACACACACACACACACACACACACACACACACACACACACACACACACACACACACACACACCTGTCCTTCGCTGGATAATCTAAGCACCAAGGAATCGATAAACAGAAAAGAGGTTCACGAAATCCAAATAAGAACTGCCAAGAAATGACAGATAAAAAAATAATAAAAATGTAGAGTAAAGGACGACCACTGACGAGAGAGACAAAGACTTGATAGAAGAGAGAGAGAGAGAGAGATAAAAGGAAGTGAGACAGACAGATAGACAAATAAAAAGAGAGACAAATCAAAGGGAGACAGATAAAAACAGGTAAAAACAGATAAAAGGGAGACAGGTAAAGGGGAGACAGGTAAAAGGGAGACAGAAAAAAGGAGACAGGTAAAAGGGAGACAGGTAAAGGGAGACAGGTAAAAGGGAGACAGATAAAGGGAGGCAGAAAGGGAGACAGGTAAAAGGGAGACAGGTAAAAGGGAGACAGGTAAAAGGGAGACAGATAAAAGGGAGACAGATAAAAGGGAGACAGGTAAAAGGGAGGCAGATAAAAGGGAGGCAGATAAAAGGGAGGCAGACAGGTAAAAGGGAGACAGGTAAAAGGGAGATAAAAGGGAGACAGGTAAAAGGGAGACAGGAGGGAGACAGGTAAAAGGGAGATAAAAGGGAGGCAGATAAAAGGGAGGCAGATAAAAGGGAGACAGGTAAAAGGGAGACAGGTAAAAGGGAGACAGGTAAAAGGGAGACAGGTAAAAGGGAGACAGGTAAAAGGGAGACAGGTAAAAGGGAGACAGGTAAAAGGGAGACAGATAAAAGGGAGACAGAAAGAAAGACATAGATAAAAGAAAGGAAGTAAAAGAGAGAGAGCAGGTGAGCGTGGGAGGCCGAGCCACGCCTATGTCCGGGGTAACAGCTGTTCACAAGGACTTGGCAAGACTGTTCCTTTTAACCTTAGCCTATATTACTTACCTACCCACCCCCTCCTTACTCTCTCTCTCTCTCTCTCTCTCTCTCTCTTTTTGTTCATATTTCTCCTCTTTCTCCCCTTTCTCTTCTTTCTTTCTCCTCTCTCTCTCTTTGAATGTAATCACTCAAAATACCTCTTCGTAATGACCCCTGTTATACTATGACACTAATTACAAGGAAGCAAAGAGAAAATGATTCCCCCGTAACAAGTCCTGATAATGACCCTTACAGGCATCAGATGACCTCAACCAGTCCTGATAACCCTAAGGTCAATGTTTTGAACCTTAGATGCCAAGAGTTGAGAATCATGGGTTCACGGTATCTGGAAAAGCAACGTGTGGTAATTAAAATCTCTTATCAGGTAAACGTAATGTAATTTAATTTCACTATAATTAATACGTAGCCCAGGGTAGATAATGTCATTGAGAGAATTATGAAGGTCATGTGATGCTCGTTCTTAATGTGAGGTGAAATTATAACTGAATTGTATTTTTGTTATTGTTCTTTTCTTTTCTTTTCATTGTTTGTATGGGTAATTATTGCGTGATTTCTTGATTTTTTGTATGATTTTATTTTTATTTTGTAATATTGAATCCTAACGTGACAAGTCAAAAATTGTCTCGGTCAAAAGAGTTGAATCAGTATCATATGTAACATGGAATCAAACGTAGTCTGTCCAGAGAGTGTCGAATTAGCTGTTCTTGGTTCATTCATTGTGAAATCAAACAAGGTTGAATCAAACTGCTTCGAATAAAATGGAGTCGACTTAAATAGGGTTGGATCAAACAACCTTGATTGAAAGCATGTCGAATCAAACTCGAATCAGATAAACGGTTGGATCAAAGAGCTCATCTCGGAGTCTTTGAATAACGAATCAGAAATCCACGAATTAAATTTGTTTGGCCAAGAAACAAATATCCCACAATATTTGGCCGAGAAAATCAAATATCCCACAATATTTGGCCGAGAAAATCAAATATCCCACAATATTTGGCCGAGAAAATCAAATATCCCACAATATTTGGCCGAGAAAATCAAATATCCCACAATATTTGGCCGAGAAAATCAAATATCCCACACTCACATAGTCTACACACCACCGCCACAACACGACAGGCAAACGGTGATGTTTCGGGAAAAATAGTGATAAAATTTCTTAGACAATGGAAGGATCGGGTCAACTCGTCTCTCTCTCTCTCTCTCTCTCTCTCTCTCTCTCTCTCTCTCTATACACTCGTTCTCTCTTCTCTCTCTCTCTATTTATCTCAGTGTTCTTTTATTGTGTTCATGTATTAGCTATTTGTATACAGGCCTCATCTTCTGTATATATTTTTGTTTATGTACTTAAACAGACAAAGACAGGCAAGCAGGCAGATAATTGGACTGATTGACAGAAGGAATGACAGACAGACGACAGATAGACAAACAGGCAGTCAGGCAGATAAGTGGACTCATTGACAGAAGGAATGATAGATAAATAGACAGACAGACAGACAGATAAATGAATAAGGGGACTGATTGACAGGACTGATGTATAAAGAGACAGACAGACAGACAGACAGACACACCCCTCTCCCAAACATCCGGTGTGGCACAATCCCCATTTTCTAAAACAAGTTACCGATGGAGTTTTATCTCGATTACAACACATTGTTCCTCGTTCCGGGAGGTGGAGTGTGACGCGTTTTATTAGGGTCTGATCTTTACGACTCTTGTTGTGTATATTTGTGTATTTTTAAAGTTTATTGTGTTTTTACGTTTTTTGTGTTTTTACGTTTTTTGTGTTTTTACGTTTTTTGTGTAATTTTACGTTATTTGTGTTTATGTGTCTTTTGTGTATTTTTACGTCTTCGCTGACTGGCTATTCTCTCTCTCTCTCTCTCTCTCTCTCTCTCTCTCTCTCTCTCTCTCATAGAACACCTGTATCTCGACACCATAGAACACCTGTATCTCGACACCATAGAACACCTGTATCTCGACACCATAGAACACCTGTATCTCGACACCATTGAACACCTGTATCTCGACACCATAGAATACCTGTATCTCGACACCATAGAATACCTGTATCTCGACACCATAGAACACCTGTATCTCGACACCATAGAACACCTGTATCTCGACACCATAGAATACCTGTATCTCGACACCATAGAATACCTGCATCTCACTTTACCAGCCCCGCGTCCAATCTACCCCCTAGAGAGCCTCCTGTGGCTAAGGGGAGAAAAAACTTCCCTGGCTGTAAAGGAGAAGAGATTATCGCATCATTTATACAACATCTTGAAGGGCTGAGGATGGTGTGAGGAGAGGAGGTGAAGGAAGGATGGTAGGAGAAGGAAGAAGGTGAGGAGGAAGAGGGAGGAGAGGAGGTGAAGGAAGGATGGTAGGAGAAGGAAGGAGGTGAGGAGGAAGAGGGAGGAGAGGAGGTGAAGGAAGGATGGTAGGAGAAGGAAGGAGGTGAGGAGGAAGAGGGAAGAGAGGAGGAAGGATAGACTTAAAGG